CAGCCTCAAACATTCCTACACCCTGTACCTGCATCCGATCAGCAGGTTTGAGTGTAGCGTACGTACCCCCAACCATCCCGTATCATCCCGGCAACAGACGAAAGCGTCGAGATCGTGTCCTGCGCGGCTGGCGTGATCGCGAAGCATTCGACGGCATGACGTGGTAGTGGAGTCGGCGTGCTAGCTCCACTCCCGCAAGGCTGAATATATATCTCCAGAGCGTGGCATGGTCGAGATAGCCGCGGGTGGCATGCACGTTTCGCTGCACTGCCTGCAGCTGCCAGCGCAAAGGGTACTGTCGGCCGTCGGAGTGTGTTCGGACATGTTGAGGTTCAACAGACGCGGGGCGGGGTAAACCGCGACGCTAACATCACGTTTGATCAACATTTCATGTTTCAAGGCGGATATCGGAGCGGAGAGAAGACCACCGAAGTCAGCAGAAGGTCCAGTCACGCGTGCAGTGAGGAGGCATGAGGGTGTGAACGCAGCGCATGTGCAGCCCGTGTGATAAGAAGAGGCTGTCTACTATCCAACCTCCCACCACATGGGAGCTACACCCTGCACATGAGAGTACATCCTGCACATGGGCAGAGCAGCTGGTGAACGGTACCAGGTTTTTCAGTGCAGTGTGCCAAAATCTGCTGTTGGTGCTGTGGAGTCCAATCACTACTGGCGGGCTTCGCGCGATAAGACGACACGCACCGCACAACACCACCACTGTTCTCGGCCCTGGCTAGTGTACCTAACAATAAACCTTCTGGATTGTCTTCTGGCCTGTCCTGTTCGTCTCACAGGACTCGACCCCGCAGTGACACAGCTTCGGTTCGCTCGCTTCATGGCCAGCAGTTCGACACCCTGGCACTCCCACCGTGAGGGTGCCACTATGAGGATGCCGCTATGAGGGTGCTGACAGCGCGCTCTGCACCAGCGATCAAAACACGTCCCTCTCCACTCCACCAATGCACGCAAACCCACCTCCCCACGCCCTCACCGAATCGCATGGTGACGCGTGCCATGCGTGGAGCTCACTTGGCCCTACGTAGAGTCTCGTTTGGTGAAAGCACACCGCTCGGCGATACTACGACTCCGCTTCTCACGCGTGACGTGTTGTTTATGCGCGTCGAGTGGGCAACAACAGAACTTTCTTTTCCACGCCTCGCAATCACCACAACACATAAGCGGCGGATGTCTGCGAGTAAAGCGTCTGGAGGGCGTCGGGGTCAAACCGACTTTGATGTCATTCCCATGGTTTGGGAGGGCGTTGTGCAGTGTGGAAGCCATGCAGCGTCAACGGCCCGCACCCGCTAGCGAGCCATGTTTTCTTGGCGTAAACAAAGCTGGACCGCCGAGGAGCGCCCTCCGCAGCCGAATTATTATGAGGCCATTGGCACGCCGTAGATAGTTTGCAACCGTGTTCACAAACCCAATTGCCCTCTGCACAAAGCAAAAATTGATCTCCGCCGCACCCCACCTACACCGCCCCGCTGCCGTTCGCTCCATCTCGAGTCAGTGGAGCTGATGTTTTCTTGCACTGCCTCGTCCGACGACCTCCGCCGGTAGCAATTTCAGTTTCAGCTTCAATCTCCCCACGCAACGATCCCATAGCACCCAAACTCGTCGCCCTCGTGGGCCTACCCAACCATGGACGACGGTCCTCCACCTCCGCCGCCTCCGCATGGCGCAAACCCAAAGACTACAGGCGGTAGCCATGCACCTCCCGACCCCGGCCCAAGCGGCGGCCTGCCACCGGGCAACTACGACATCTTCATCATACCGCCGCACTCTTCAGGAGGCGGCTTCATATACCTCCCCAGCATGGGCGTGCAACAGAACAGCTTCATTGCGGGTGTGCTCAGCACCATCGCAAGCATCGTGCTGTGGAAGGCCGCTGAGCCTTACATGAAGCAATATTTCCTCATAGTACGACATGGAGTGACGACTGGTGGCAATGGCGTCATATTGCTGGCGGTCTTGATGTTGGTTGCCGGATGGGCAGTTGGCCAGACACAAGCAGGGGGTCGCTTCAGCAGTGGCGGAGGGGGCTATGGCCGTGGTGGAGCGGGAGCGGGAGCTGGCACACACACACCAGGCGGAAGCTCAAGCTATCAACGAGCGCCTCCACCACCGCCTCCGAACGGCGGCTTCCCCGGCAGTCCTCCACCTCACGGCGGATGGGGTGGATACCGCCAATACGGGGCTGGCTCGCCACCACCACCACCTCAAGACGACGAACCTTCCTTCGACGAAGAGGCCGAGCGTGCCGAAGAGGAGCGGAAACAAGCAGAGGAAAAGGAGAAGCGGCGGAAAGAGAAAGAGGAGAAGAAACGGAAAGAAGATGAGGAGCGCAAACAGAAAGAGGAAGAGCACAAGAAAGCCGAGGAGGCTAAGAAGAAGCAAGAAGAGGAAGAAGCCGAGCGCAAGCGCGCTGAAGAGGCAGAGGAGAAGAAGAAACAGGAAGAGGAGCTTAGGAAGAAACAAGAGGCGGATCTCAAGAAGAAGCTCAAGAAGGAGCTGAAGGAGGCCGAGGAGGCTAAGCGGAGAGAGGAAGAAGAAGAGCGCAAGCGTGCTGAAGAAGCCAAACGACAGGCCGAAGAAGAGGCTCGACGGCAGCGTGAAGCTGAAGAGCAGAGGCTAGCTGAAGAAGAGAGGAAGAAGCGTGAGGCCGAAGCACAGAGACTTGCCGAAGAGGAGAAGAAACGACAAGAAGAAGCTGAGCGCCAACGCATCGCAGAAGAGGAACGCAAGGCCGAGGAAGAGCGCAAACTCGCCGAAGAGGCTCGGATACGCGCTGAAGAGGAGAAGAAGAAGAAGGACGAAGAGGACCGCAGACGAGCCTGGGAAGAACTCAAGCGCGCAGAAGAGGCCCGACAGAAGAAGGAGGCCGAAGAAAAGGCCAAGGCAGAGGCAGCCAAAGCCGCCAAAGCCAAAGCCGAAAAGGAGAAGTGGGAGCAGATGCGCAAGCGTGAGCGCGAGCAACGCGAACGTGAAGCCCGCGAGCGTCTCGCTAAAGAGAAAGCCCGCAAGGCACAAGAAGCCATTGAGAAAGAGAAGGCCGAACGAGAGGCTCGCGAGGCTGAGGTGCGTGCAGCAGTCGAGAAGGAGATACGCGAAAAGCTCGAAGCTGAACAACGCGCCAAAGCCGCCGAGGAGGCCGCCAGAAAGGCAGAAGCAGAGAAGATTGCCGCTGAAGAGGCTGCTGCTAAAGCAAAGGCAGAAGCAGAGGCTGCTCTTGCGAAAGCAAAGACAGATGCTGAGCGCGCCGAACGCCTCAAAGCAGCCCGTGAGCGAGCTCAAAAGGATCGCGAAGCCCGTGAAGCAAAGCTCAAAGCAGAAGCTGAACGCATCAAGGCCGAAGCCGCTACCGCAGCAGCTACAGCAGCAGTTCCCGACCTCACAGCGCGTCGCTCAACTACATATGGTAATGTCGGTGGAGGTGAACGTCTCGATCCATATGCCGGAGCAAGAAGTACACCACCGCCTGCTGCCTCTGTTACTTCTACCCATTCCTCTCCCATTAAGGCAACCGTCACACCCAAGAAACCCTACGAGCGACCGACCGCCGCGTCTTACCTCGGCTCCGAATCCGACGCCGCGTCGTTCGTTCCGCCCCGAACTGCCACGGGGCCTGCCCGCTCCACAGCTACCCGGTCGCATGTCTCAAGCGCATACTCTGAGTCTTCCTACGCGCCCTCACAATCTACAACTCGCACATCGCCGCCTGCGTCGAGAAGTGGACCGTACGCGACAGCCGACCCGAACAAGATCGTTATCAAAGCGGTGTATCTGTTCAACGACCTCTTTCCTAAGCCTGTCGCGCAGTTGGTGTCCAATGTGGGCAAGGTCACTGATGGCTTGATCCTCAAGATACAGTCTGAGGGCTTGTTTATCGATGACGATGTCCGAGGTATTCCGCAGCGCGAGTGGGATGTCAAGGCTTGGACGTTGAAGATGGTTGAGGTATGTCACTTCCCTTTCTTCCTTACATCGCACCTTTCCTTTTACTTTTCCTCTCTCCCACCGTTTTGAAAGTATGGAATGCTAATTTGTAAAACAGACGGGCAAACAACCCACCAAAAACCTGCACATCCTCCGCGCCTCTGTCCGCGATGCCGACGGCAAGAAATACGTCTTCCTCATTGACGAAACGGAAAGTTGGAAACTGGCACTTGGTCTGCAGAGGCTGAGGAAGGGAAGCCAAGTGAGGAGTTTGCAGAGCGCGCAGATGGCGCCGAATGAGATGGCGAGGGTGTTGAATGCTGTGCCGCCTATTGCTTTGTAGATTATCGATCATGAGCAGTGTGGGAGAGACGGAGGAGGGTAAGGGGGGAGAAAGAGGTGGGGGACAGTGTTGATACAATGGCATGGTACAGTAGTATGGGTGGTGGATTTGGGATACCCACTTTCGTTCCGCATAAAGCATCAGCGGTGGAGTTGTTGTTGGTCTTCGTTTACAAGTATCGTTACGAGCGCATTTTTGTACTCTTCTTTCTTTCGTTGTATATGCATCTTTGGGTGGAAAGGGAAGAAAAGAGGTGAAGTGGAAGTATATATCACAAGTTACATATTGGCGCTGGCTTGGAGAGGTGGTTGGAGATGGGTGTTTTGGATGTATGTAGGATGGTGAAATGGATGTATGGCATGTGTTGTGATCTTGGGATTTGGATCTTGGTGAAATTCGGCGTCAGATTTTGAATTCTATTCACTTACAGTGTCGTGAAGAGGGTCTATCTCGTTAGTGAGAAGCGATTGCGTGGACTCCACCAAGTTTTATCAAGGTAATGATATACTTCCGATATAGAAATTCTTTCCATCGTACAGTTCATCATACTCAAGCTCAAATTCCACTCCATCCTTCCCTCACAATCTCGTAAAACAATCACCATTGCAACAAGGCTTCCGTAGCGACTACACAAACTCCCTCCTACGCGGCGCCTGCCTCAGTCCCTCCTTCTTCCTTCCCCCAAACCCCATCCACCCCTCCATCCCTTCCCCCCATCCTCTTATCTCCCAAACCCATTCTCAGGCGTACATCCAGCACACCCACTAATCTTCCCATTGATAACATTAAAAGTCCCGCCATCACCCGTGTTGCAACCTGCAGTAAAGGTACGAAGTCAGTATATGTCTCACATGCACTTCGTACAGTCAAAACTTACCGATAACATCCGGATCGTTTGATGCGGTGCAGAAAGTGCCCTTGGGGACTCTGACGCCTGGGTCGACCGGGCTGCCGGGTGCGGGGTTGGATTCACGTTGTGGTGTTGGGGATGCGATAGCAATAGCGGCCATGAGGGCGAAGGCTGTGATGAAGGAGGTTGAGCGCATGGTGGTTGAGGAGGGTTGGTGTTGGTGGAAAGTTTGGTGGAAGGATGGGAGGATGGGATGGTTGTGTGCTTTTGACTTTTTGGAGTTGGTGGTGTGGTGCGACTTCCGGAGTCGTTGTTGTGTGTGAAGAAACTGGAGAGGATGATGAAGATAGACTGTAGTGATGATAATGCTTCTTCACCGTGGACAAAGGGCATCTATATATGCACTGCAAAGAAGTCCTCCCCCAGCTTTACCTTCCAAACGTCGCATCATACCATCTCGCTAGTCCAAAGGTAGAAAGAAAGATTACACGAACAAATCGCCATGTTGGGCATCACGCCCGTCCTCCGTTCTCCTTCTCACTTTGCGCGTTTCAGTCTACGATGTTTCGGGGTATAGAGACTTGGCTTCACTCGCACGAGCCCGTGTAAACAGAGTAACACTGTAGATTAGGCTAATATCGGTGGAGTGGTCTCGTATAGCCCCGTATTGGTAAATCCCCGGGGTAGCGCCGTGGTGAGGGCTACACAGCTCCCAGAGCTTTCAGGTCCTGGCAACACAACATTATATTGTTAGAAGCTTCTAAAGCTGATACATACGACCATAGGATCATGAAAATTAGGCTTCCCGTCCGCTCAGCCATATACAAGCATGATACCGGCGGATTAGTAGTTAGGTGGGTGACCACTAGCGAATCCCCGCTGTTGTATGTTTTTGCCTTCTTTTTTGCCGTTTTCTAGTGCCCTGGCTGGGGGAAGGCGTGGGTGTGGAGGTAGGATGGATGTACAGGGAAGGAGAGTGTGCGAGGGTTGGCAAGGGTTGATGGTGGCGTGACATGTCATGTGTGAAGAGAGGTCGGATGCAGCTCGTATGTAATGTCATGATTTCATTTTAGTCTTCGGATTGTCAGTGGGTTTGTCGTAGTGAGACCTGTAGTTCTATAGTGCTGGATGAGACTCAACTCCTTCTCGCTCACTCTCGTAGCATACCAGTAGCCAGTATCATAATCTCTCACACCCATCGTCTTCATCAGCCCCCGCCGATCCGAAAGTCCCAGCCTCAACTGCCTCGTGAGCAGCGCACTAAACGCATTAGCATCCACATCAGCAACGACGACGTCGACACTCAATAGCAGCGGAAGACTTACCCAGACGAGAACCACTTCAAGGATCCTGACCAATGCTCAACTTGATAGACACATCCAGACCAACAGAAAAGCAAGTCTTGGTTCCGTAGACCGGGAGGAGAGTGAAACTGCCGCCGCAGTCAGGCTTGGGATAGGTGTTCACTATGACAACCAACGTTAGCCCACTTCAGTTATGAGTACGTGGAACGGAGACGTACGAGCGTTATACTTGATATCCCCATCCTTGCCCACAACCCTGACACTCTTCACCCCATCAGAAAGCCCATAGCAGACATTTGGATCAATCCAGAGGAACTCGTAGGCGCCGCCGCATTCGGGTTCTTTGAAGGTCTGGGCGCGGACTTGGGTTTGGACGCTGGGGTCGGCGGAGGTGGTGGGACTGGGTATGGACGTGGCGCTGGCCGCGGCGCTTCCCAAGAGGGTGCATAGGAGAATAGTGGCGAGCATGGTGGCGAGCATGTTGGTGGGGAGATCTTTGGCGGGGATTCGTGGGTTGAAGTCGTGGGTGCGAGCGGGGAAGGTGGAGTTGGTGTGTTGTATGAGATGATTTGGTGTAGTGGGTGTGGGTGGATGGAGTGAGTGATCGATGTGCGTGCGATGGTCTGGTCTGGTGTGTGAGTGAAGTGAGAGTGAGTGAGTGCGTCTGGTTTGTTCTGCTTGAACAACCCGAAAAGCATTGACGAAGGAAAGAGAAAGGATTGAAGGGCGAGCGAGCTGTTTATAACGCCCGCTTACCGTCCTCGAAAGATGAGCAAGTTGAGTGGTTATCTGATGCAAACGCGCCGAGGTGAAAGCATCCGGGGAAGCGACGCCCGACCGCGCGTCTTTAGGTGAAGGCACTCGGTGAGGCAGTCGTGACCCTGGATGCGGGGTCAAGATCGTGGGGAAGTCGCGTTTGCGGTGAGGGCGCGGAAGGTGCGGTTGGCTGGTACTCAAGGTACAAACGCACGGTAGGGAGGGATGTGGATCACTGGCGTTGTGGCAATTGGAGTGACGATAATCAGAGGCATGGGTTAACTGAGAGATTAAGAGAGATTTGTCTAGCCGGCGGCGGTGAAAGTGATGTTGAAGGAATGGAGTGGGGAAAAGATGAAGTGAGGTGAGTGGGGAGGTTTGGTCACAGTCACACAGTGGAGGGATTGTGTGTACCAGACGGGTAGCGGCAGAGGCACTGAGCAACGAGGAGTAGGACAACTAGAAAGATGTTGCACGAAAGTGCTGGATCGATCAACCTCTCCGGAGCCGTAAGTTGAGCACTGTGGTTTGGGTATGGAGGCAGGTTTGATGAGTGAAATGATGCTCGTAGTGAGTACGATGGGCGTGAACGATGTACATACGACGAAATGCGCAGAGAGAGCGCTGGTTTAGCATGGTCAACTTGTAGAGTCAGTGACGGAACGTTTGGAGGAGTAAAGTTGCGCCCAACTTCTTCATCAACCGAGCACAGCCCACATATTCTGGTGTCCAAAACCACTCATAAACATCGTGTATTGAACAATAGAGAGATAAACTCCCTAGAAAGATGGTATCCTCGCTTCCAAATGCAATCATGACCATACCCACCTTTAGAACACTTCACTCTCCGACGACTCAGCAGACTGCGCAGTAACAACTCGAGTAGGCTCTGAGACGAACACAAAAGAGCCTGAAAAATTGGCAATGGGAACCGCACACGGTGTATACTTCACAGGCTGTGCGGATACGAGGGGTTTGGAAGGTCCAGTACTTTCAGCGTGTTCTGTAGGTCCATCGAGCCCCGCAGATCGACGAGTCTTTGTACGTTTGGCCGCTTCCAATAACATATGCGCAGCGGAAATAATGTTGTCAAGCTGCACATCTGAACTGGCTGTCGGAGCATCAGAAAGAGTACTGACGCTCGGCTAGAACGTCTCCTCCTCCGCACCCTCGCCCTCAGCCTCTGGTGGGATCTCGAAACCCTCTTCGGTAGAGTAGAGAATGTTTTGGATCTGCTTGAGCAGCCCCTCATCCTTCTCGAGCTCGGGGTCGGCCTCCATTGCTTGCTGGATCAGCAATTCAATGTCGCGCAGCTTGCTGAAGTAAAAGTCCCTCTCGCGCTCGAGGCCCGTGACAGTCTCCTTGAGAGCACTGTTCTCCTCGCGCAGAGCGGCGCTGGCGGCTCCTCCCCCAGAGGCAAGCGGTGTGCGTGTCCTAGGCGCAGCCGTGTTGCTAGCAGCTGGTGCTCTTCGGGCAGTCGATGCTGCGGCGCGGGGTGCAGGCGTGGCTCCGGTCGCAACACCGCCCTGACCCTTGCGACGGGCGACGGGGTCGTACTCGTGGCCGGGGAAATGCTGGTCCCAGTACTGCTTGACGAATTGGAGGAACTCGAGGTTGTCCTGCATCTTGCACTTTACGAGCGACTCGACGCGGATGGGCTTGTCGACATGGTGCTTGGCGAACGTGTCTGGATTCTTAGCGGAGAATTTGGACGGTGGGAAGGGAGACGTACTCTGTAATACCTTGAAATTCTGCAGGTATGCGTACTCAGTGTTCGCATTGAACTTGACTCGCGACATGGGCACATCGTCTGCACGCTGTTAGTCTTAATCTCATCCGCGCCTAGGTGAGGTGAAGGACTTACAGAATATGCTGTCGAAGACTTGGCACAGCGCTGCTCTGTCCGCCATGTCAGTACACGTCCTCACTCCTCAAGGCCAGGGGTGCCCCTCTATCCTCGGCGCGCGCAACGTACCCGGTACCGCATTGTTCGACTTTGGTGATGTTGAGCTGGAGGAGGTTGTTCAACCAGGCGACGAGTTCTTGTCTGTTCACGTGTTGCGGTCAGCGTGTGGTCGTAGTGAAGGTGTCTGCGCAGATGGCCGCAGCCTAACCCCTCGGGCCCGGTGCCTACCTTGATTCTCCCATGGCGGCTATCTATGTGCAGGCGTCTAAGGGTTTGTTTTGGGCGATCAGCGACGAGATAAAAGCATGCAGCCCGGAGTGTCCGTGGTGAAGGGGTGGCGTTGCAGGCGGTGGGCGTGAGTGCTGTTATTTGTTGATGCGCCGTCGAGTCGGGGAGTTGACAATTTGGGCGCCGCTGCCCCACGCTGGAGATTTTAGCGTCAGGTCATGGCGCTAGCGTCACGTGCCATCGTCTCGACTGGTCGCGATTGCCCTACGACGAACATGCAGAACTAAACTTCATACATTCGTGGATGGTAGTTGCATGATGTGGTCCTTCACTACACAGTCTCACACCTTGCTGTCCTCTGACATTGTCACCATCTACCCAACAAACTCTCAACCATACCAACTGCTGTGCCCCTATCCGCCCTCACCGCTTCAAAAGCCTTGACAACCACCGGGAACCATACATTCGCCATCTTGACATCCCCACTATCATTCGGATGTATTCCATCCCTCAAATCCGCCGTCCCACTGAACCCGGTATACTGGTCCACAACCCAGATGGGGCTTTCCGTCGTATTGAGACCCTGAGCCCAAGGAACGATTGCGCGATTCAGGTCTTGGATCTTGGTATTGTAGCTACCGAAGCCCATGGGGATGATTTGCGCGACCTGCGAAGGTGAGTGAATAAGCGATTGGTATACAACGAGACCACCCAATGTTACTCGCGAAAAGACTTCAGGCTCGAGCGCGAAGCCCAGAAGTATGCTACGCGATGAGACGGCGTCTGTACAACAGCGCAACCTCGCAACCTCACACTGGCAAGTATGAAAAAGAACAAACTCACCACAATCTTCATCCTCGGATTCGCCCCCCTCATACTCCCCACCAACGTCCCAAACGCCTTAACAATATCCCCCACCGCCTTATTCTGCTGCACAATATCATTCGTGCCAAGATGCATCGTAATCACATCCGCAGGATTACTTTTCAGCCATCCATCCAACTGCCCTTTGTTCGCAATATCGATAGCGAGGAAACCAGAGTGGCCTTCGTTGTCGCGGTCGTAGGTCGTGTCCGCGCAGTTGTTTTCGGTCTTGCCGCTGCCGACAAAGTTTACGGTGGAGGAGTTGAAGGGCGTGGTTTGCAGGCGTTGCCAGAGCTTGGAGCGCCAGCAGATTATTTCGGTTATGGAGTCGCCGAAGGGCATGTAGCGGATTGGGGGGTTGGTGGTTTGGGCGGCGGTTGTCGTGAATAGGCCGGTGAGGGAGAGGAGGGTGGTGAGCAACATTGTGGTGGTTGCGATGCTGTGGAGGTACCTGTGTATGTGCGAGGCTATGGTTCTGCTTCGGTTACGTTTTGGTGTGAGGCTGGCCGTCTTATGTTGTCTTCATGATTTGCACTTGGCGACATCTCATCTATCGCACTGTACGCCATCTCTCAACACATATGAAGATGACGCCAAAGGTACTCTGGACGCAAATGAGGACTGCGGAGAGAAGGAAGTCTCTAGCGATGTGGGCGACATCTGGTGTGACTGGGTGTCACTATACCGAAGGCTAAATGCAGCTGCCGGATGATCGCTAATATACGCAGAATGTGCACGCTCGGAGAAAAGGCAAGAACGCGGGGAAGCTAGTGCAGACTACTGAGCGCGTCGTGGATGCATCAGTTATATTATCTGGAGCGATCTTTGGTGTTTAGACGTTACGCGATCGTGTCGAGCGGCTTCGGTTTTCGGCATCCATCTAATAAGTTCAAAGTGAAAGTCAATAGCACGTGCGGAAGAGACTCCGAAACCCAAAGGGTCTTTTCCAGAGGGACAGGTACCCGCTAGCCCTGATCGTAGCACGGACGAAAATGTCAAAACTGAAGAAGTAGGTACATGCGATGACTGAGAGAAGTTGGCCAAAGCATAACGCTCGAATCTCGACGGAAGGAGAACTACTCACCGCCTCTGACTTTCTCAAAGACTCAAATCGCCGAGCCTGGTGTTCAGAAGGAGAAGGTGGAGTGCCCGTTGATGAAATTCGACCGTGGCGTAGATGAAGACACGCCGTCACGCCGAGCGACATGCGGTGACCACAACGACACATAGAGACGTACCTTCCTCATATCGACCATGACTAAGGAAGTACCAATCATGACTGTACAGCACTCTGACGATGTACGAGGAGATAAACTACCCACCATGAGCTTCCACCAACCACAGCCTTCTATTTGTCAACCTAACTCTTCTTCTGGCAGCTTCACTCCCAATACACTCTAAGCCTGAGGCGCAGCAATCTGTGAATTTGGAATCGCAGGCATCGTATGATGCTCATTGCTCGCTACCGCTACGGCCGGATGTTACTCCTTAGCGGACGGTAATACCCCAGATTTCTGCTCGGCCCTTTCCCGACCGACATACGCTGCCGGGGTGTTGATTGGCTGGGTGAGTAAGAAACTTGGAAGTGGCAGTGCAAGAGACAACACGTGATTGCTGCAAAATTGTTGTGATGAGGAAAAGGGCCTTTGTCGGTGCAAGGAGAGGAAAACAGCCGGATCGAAAAACACATTGATCGTAAAATGCACGCGAGAAGAGAGACGTGCACAAGAGCACAAACTGCGAGAAGACGGCGAGGAGCGCGGAGGTGAGACGATTGATGTGAAAGATTGGGGCGGCGGGTGCTGACTTCGTGCGACAACTCACTATCGGCCCTCACACTTAACTCCGAAGGCTCTCGCGATCGAGCAACCCCGCAACAAGATGTCGATAACTCATCATCGACGTATGCTGAGAGAAAGCAGCTAGCTTGGCATTGTGATGCCTCGGTGATTCCCAGCAGAAGACGCCGATGGTGTTGATTTTACTTCCTGGATTCCAAGGTTTCGCGCTCCGAGCTGACGCGGTCCTTCAGGGCTGAGGCTGCCACGCTTGCAAGCCACCAGCCTGCGCCTATCGAGACATGAACAGCGCCACGTGAAACCGACCGGACTTCATGCAGCTGCAGTGCGATGGTCCCAAAGTAGAAGGCAACTCCATGCAGTGGTAATAATGTCGCGTATACACCGTAATATGAGAAACAGGCCGAATCTCCGATGGGAATTCCGACTAGGCCGGTGATCGAGGGCTGACGGTGACGAGCACAGCCTGGACAGCATGCTCCTGTAAGAGTGTGCCCAGGTCGACGATGAAGTCATGGGAGTCTGGATCTCGACGCATGTTGCTGACATGTCTTGGAATTGCGGTCGCTGGAATTGGGTGTTGGGAGATCCAAAGCGAGGGACGTGCGGGACAAGAGGGCCCACAAGAGCGGGCACCAAGACCGCGACCGTCGAGACCACACCTGTTCCCAACCTTACGTGAACTGACATGCCCGCCGTTCCCAGCGTGCCCCCGCGCCGGGACATTACTTTTGCAAAATAGATGGCGTCTCATTCGTCCGGATGCAAGTTACTTGTTTGGCCCTGCACATAGCCACCACGACGCGTCCAGCCAAGCCGCGCCGAACGTTGAGTCCGCTGGCCCTCACTGGTACCACCTCTCTGCGCCAGACCCTTCACCATGTACAGGCGGGAGATCTCACTTGTTATCGCGGCCCTCTGGCGTTCGTGACGCGTACTGCTTGCACAAGTTGTGTTGTCATATCGCGAGGTCCTCACGGTGTTTTGCTATGCCCAGCCGGTGACTGACGGCTCTCCGCAAAGCCGCCGCATTCGGCCAGGCTTGTCCAACCACACATCAGCAGTAATACCGTTGGGTTCACCTGTGCCTGCGAGGTACCTACCTCCACCAAACTAAGCCAGGCTGCGTGTACGTAGCCATGCTTCTGTCAGCATCTCTCTAGGGGGCTTGGAGCTGTATCTTGGAAGGCGGGTGATCCGGGCTCCACCATCTATAAACCTCTTTGTCCTCTGCTGCCGAATCACTATCGAACTGCATATCCCTTACTCACCTCAAGACATCTTCTCCTATTGGTTTGGCTACTTGAACTCAGATCAATAGCTTCGTGATCGCCTCTAGAGACGACGCCATCAAGCCACGCTTTCAGCTAGGCGCTGTCTACTAGCCTTAAACATCGAGCCCTTTGGCAACCTCGAGTGTTCAGCAACGATCAACGACCTCTCAGTTTCAGAACACAAGAGATGAAGCGCACAACAAGTTTGGTCATGGGCCTCTTGGCTCTGGGTAAGCCCCCAACAACAGGCTTATCTTACCACGGTGCTAACCCTATCTAGCCTCCCAAGCCACAGCGCAAGTAGCCAGCGTCTGCCCTTCTACCGGTGTATGCTATGGCCTCAACATTCCCGAGCGCACAGCATCATCTGGATCAGGAGACATCTTCTTCCAGATATCAGCCCCAAGCAACTATGAGTGGGTTGCGCTCGGCCAAGGCAGTGGCATGCCCAACTCCAACATCTTCGTCGTGTACACTTCAGGATCTGGGAACAATGTCACATTGTCGCCGCGATCGACTAGCAGTTACCAGCCTCCCAGCCCCAACGATGCTGCTCAAGTCACTCTACTCGAAGGCTCTGGCGTTTCAAACGGTGTCATGACCGCGAACGTGAGATGTAAGACTGACAGCCAACATGACATAAACACAAACTGACACGTGACGCAGGCTCAAACTGCAACTCCTGGTCTGGCGGCACCATGGACTTCACCAGAAACAGCGGGAGCTGGATCTTCGCCTACCAATCCTCCGGCGGGCCCAAGAACGACGACTCCACCTCTGCGCAAATCGACCAGCACTCCAACCAGGGTGTCTTCGACTGGCAGTTCGCCCAAGCAAAGGGCGGTTCAAGCGTTAACCCCCTCGTCAACACCTCACCAACCGGCACAACAGGCGGCGCAACACCAACCAACTGCCGCCAGCGTCCTTCCGGCGCCGCAGGCACAGGTAACGCCAGGCCAAGCCAAACCAGCAGCAACAACGACGACGACGACGATGACGACAACTACGGCCGCCCAACCTCTCGTCCTACATCGCGCCCCAACGGCCCCCCAGGAGACAAGCGCTCCCCCTCCCCCGACAAGGGCGGCAAAGACGACGACGACGACCTCCCCTACTGCGACACCCTCCCCAACGGCGGCGCCACAGGCGGAAACTCCGTCCAAACCATCAGCTCCGGCGCATCCGTCAGCCCCTCCAAGAAACGCACCATGCTAATCGCACACGGCGTCCTCGCCTCCCTCGCCTTCGTCATCCTCTTCCCCTCAGGCGCCATCGCTATCCGCCTAGCCTCCTTCCCAGGTATCGTGTGGCTGCACGCTGGCTTCCAGATCCTGGCTTACATGGTGTACATCGCGGCCTTCGGAATGGGTATCTGGCTCGCGCTCCCCATCAGCGGAGGTCACTACATCTCCAGCTACCACGCCATCATCGGTATCTTGGTGTTCTGCCTCGTCTTCTTCATGCCTTTCCTCGGAACACTACATCACATCTTGTTTAAGAAGACGCAGCGTCGCACCCTTACTTCCTATGCGCATATCTGGGTTGGCCGTATTGCGATTACGCTTGGAATGATTAACGGTGGACTGGGATTGTTGCTCGCGGATAACTCGCGAGATGGCGCGATTGCGTATGGTGTTATTGCGGCGGTTATGTGGCTAGTGTGGGTTGCGGCGATGGTTGTAGGTGAGGCCAGGAGGAAGAAGGCGGTTAGGGCGAAGAACGCGCAGAGGACGGATAAGGTGCAGGAGGAGAGGAGGGAGAGCGATAGGAGTACGGAGGATGTGGAGTTGGCGGGTCATTATAGGCCGGCTAAGGGTCAGCAGTAGGGTGATTGCTGATTGGAGACTTGGTGGAGATGTTGTGAGCGGGTATGCACTGAGTAAGGGGGAGGAGTGTATATAAGTGTAGTTGACGTTTCCTTTGTTGTATCAAGAAACATTATTAAACACGTTCAAACATCCATTTATCCATCCACACCTCCTCCTCTCCCTCCCTCCCCATCCATCCTGCCCCCTACCGCCTGCCCATCCCCCCCAAAACCCTACTCGCCGCCCTACTAACCTTAATCACATCCCTATACGTCAAACTCACCCTCGTTCCCCTCACATTCCTCCCTCCATTTTCTTCAACCCCTTTCCTGCCTTCTTCACTCAGCAACCCCCAATTCGCAACCGTCTTCGCATTCAAATCTTCATCGATGTCTATGGAAGAGATTCCATGCATGAGATCTCTGTATGCGCGCCCCGTGGTGATGAGTAGAGAGCGGGGTTCTTGGAAGATGCGGGTTGGGAGGGTGAGTGGGGTTTCTTGACTCTTTGCCTCGTCTGCGTCTGCGTTCAGAGACTGAGACTTTTTTCCATTTGCGTCGTCTTTCTTTTCTTTGATGTCTCCTTTCTCTCCCTCACCCCCGCTCTTCTCCAACACATCCAGACACAGCCCCCCTCCCAGACTAACCGTCGCAACGACCTCAGCATACGCACCACCATCTTCATGTGGCATAATGCCCTCACCGGGTTTATACTCATTGACAAGCACATGGTTTGGTTGGCCGTGGGGCGTGTGCTTGAAGATGCCTAGGTCGGAGAAGCGGGGTATGATGGGCGTGGTTAGATATGCAGGTAGAGGGGCGGCGAGGAGCGTGTTGTTTGATGTGAGAGTTGAGGGGAGGGCTTGGAGACGGCGGTGGGTGAGGTGTGTCCATCGCTGGGCGGGGATCTAAATTGATGGGGGAGGGGAGGTTAGTTGATGTTAAGGGGGATTAGGAGGAGGCATGATTTGAGACGTGGATGTCATGCGCGGTGGCAATGGGTGTGGAGATGGAATAGTGTGCATGGAGTGAGGTGGGGTAATTGAACTTCCGTCCTATGTGCAACGTGATATTCGAGCGTGGCGACCAGGAAAATCGACGAGGAGAACACATACCTTCTGTAATATTGACGCTTCCTCCTCGTGACTTATGAAGTTCGGGATATAGTAGAAATCCGGTGGCAGACCCGCAATGCGGAAAGCCTCCAGACCCGTCTTGTCGTCTACGGGTAGAGAACACATAATTGTTGCTTGAAAATGGGAGTTTGCAATAGGATTTGACGGCCTTGCTAATTAGTGGCAATGTGTTGATGTTGTGTGATGTACACGGGTGGCAGGATGATGTAATGCAGCTACCTATCAAACAACCTTGAACGCGCCTCCGCCAGTTCGAGCTAGTCGCGCGCTCACGTGCGAACGCTACCTACGCTTCACACCACAATACATGGGAGTGCAATAACATTGATACGCACATTAACAGTCCAGTACAGTCTGCGGGGTTTCATATTACCATCTGACGTAATTTCCAAGGTGTCATGAATCATGCCAATTTTGTAGCTCCAACGGACTGTGACTGGTTATACCAGCCCAAGCATTTGAACTCAGCTCACGTAATGTGTCGGCATCAGTTTCAGAGTAAAAGGCACGGAAACGCCGTGAGGCTTGACAGGATGTTATGGCTCAAGATTCGCGGTAGCAGGAAAGACAAGCTTTGCAACATTTTTCTCTATAATAACATGTCAACGATTCGGAGAACGGTAGAAGTGCAGCAAACATAAGTACGTGCATTGAGCGAGTGTGCAGCCATCAACACACTGTGCGAAGTGACTAAAGGCCAGGTGCTATCAACAGTCTTTGACCGCTTACTTTCCCCGCCTTGAGCAGATTCCATGCCTCTTGCACCTTATCCAGGCCACCGAGAACATGAACGGGCACAGGCTGCAGGCGCCCAGCCGCGAGCTCACTTTCCAAGAAATCCCACCACACCCACGTGGTAAAGTCGCGCGTCTTGGGGTCAAGATAGACATCCATAATCGGCACAAAGTTTGCTTGAACTCCAGTGGGCAGCTCCACCCCCGGCCGCAAGCCCATTGTCGACAGAAAAGAACCTCCTCCGTGCGCAGCCAAGACAGCTCCCAACACAGGCTGATCCTGGGCAGCGTCCGCAGCAGCCAAGACGGCTTCGAAAGGTCCTATATCTATAAGCTCTTGCGTTACTGTCGGTGATTTCCTGTTGATAAAGTGCACAGCACCGAAGGACTTCACAAGCTGCGCATTCTGAGCAGACGCAACGCCCACCACTGTGTAACCTGCTCTAGCAGCCAGATAGGTTGCATAGGCGCCGAAAGAAGAAGAAGCGCCCCAAATAAGCACCTTCTTGTTCTTGTTCTCGGGATTGGGATGTTCTGCTGGCTTCTCAAGGTGCAGGTGTATGAAAAGTGCACTGGCAGGATAGGCCAGGCTGGAGATGGATACCGCAGCTTCGAAGGATACTTGTCCAATCTGCAAGGCCAGGTTGTTAGCAGACTGTTGGTTACAATCGCGAGACTTGAGCTGGACATCTCGTCCCCTTACCTTCGCTGTCATTTATTGCGTGGTGACTGCATATTTCTGGTATGCTCCAAATCGGGGATCGTTGCGGATACTTCCAGCGCTGTTGGTGACGATGCGGTCGCCCTTCTTGAAGCCGCTGACCTCTGTGCCAACTTTGACGACCACGCCAGAAAACGATACTGCACTCGGCTTAGCAACCATGTTCTATAGCGGAGGCCACTCTGCTGGAAACGGATACTGACTTCCAATGATAGTGGGGTAATTCAGCTGATACGGAAGTGTTCCCTCTTGGATCTTGTATTCTGCTGGCTGGGCAGCGACTACTTTGACCTGTCATCATGTCGTTTGTCAGAAACTCTGCATAGAAAGGTGAATGCCAGGACGAATGAACTGGCTTCCCCGTTCACATTCCTTACCTCGATGAGAAGTTCCTCTGGGCCCGGTTCGGGGATATCGGCTGGACCGATTTCGACCTGCTTCCCTACGCCTGGCAGCCATGCCGCTTTGTTCTGATACTCCGCCATCGAGATGTTGAGAAAGAAGTGATTGGAGTCTGTCAGAGAGGTGTTGAGTGTGAGTTTCTTTGTTCGTGTATCGTGAGGTGGCAGAGCGTTTATATTCCCTATCTGAAGACATGATCAGGCACCGTTCGTCCAATGCATGTCTGATGCTTCGGCTACCAGCTTTGTAACACTACCGGCTTAGCAATTGCGAGAATAGGCTTTACTATCACAATGGTGCCAAGATATATTGCCGGATTACGAAGACGCTCGTTTGTAGTGTGTTGTAGGCTAAACACCAAAATCCGCACAGACTCTACGACACACTAGAAACGAGCTCCTTCGTAATGCTACCTAGTGCCTCGGAAGATTTCCGCGCTTCTCTCATAAGCAGACCCACGCCGCCTCTGGTCCGGATACATCATGTTCCGAGAAACCGTCCTGTCATCTATGCGTAGAGAGCACGTTATGCTTGCTCGATACTGACGCAAGGATGGTGGGCGGCCTTGTCAGCTTGTGATGATATGCGCATGTTTGTTGGATGGGGTTGAGTCCGAGATGGGGTTGAGTCCGAGATGATGTAACGCAACCAACAAACGACGCGTCGCCAGTTCGAGCTAGTCGCGCGCTCACGTGCGGACGCTGCTCTCTTCATCACTCAACCCGTTGGGACGCAGTATGATTCGAGAATTCAGTTATTGGAGTGGTAGGGAGATACATTGAAGCTCCGTACTGCATGCAGCATGTGCTGATCTATGAAAGTCGAAGAGTACCCAGCCTCAAACTCCAAACATCCCATACCAAAACATCGTTGGAATCTAATGTTCACGCTCGTTAAACAAAATCCTAGACTCATGTTCATCATATTCATGCCATGACCACCATCTCTGCGTCAGCCCACAAACCTGAGGCCAACACCTATCTTAAGAAGGAAAACGCCATAAGCCTGCGGCGGAGAAATACTCAACACCAAGAACCACCTAACCCCATCACAATCACATCACAGCACACCCGCCAGGGCCACTTCTTGCGCGGCGTCTCCTCCCGCCCCCACCCGTAGCCCCGGCCCCAGCCTCCTCCTCATCCGCATGCATCATCTGCGCCTCTCTCGCCCTTCTCCTCCTACGCCTCGCACCCGCCCCACCCACCCCCGCCTCCTCATTCAACATCATCCAATCCGCCCATTTGCGCTCCAGCCTCGCCGCAGCCGCAAAGTCACCCCTCAAAACCCGCTTGGTATGTTCCTCAACAGTCGGCTGCCAGTTGTGGAAGCACTTGAGCTTGATGATTTCACTTGGGTACGTCGCGACTTTACTCGCAGACCGCGAATTCGGTCTTGTAATCTCCGCGTTTCGGGATAGGACTTCGCGGACGCCGGTCCAAGTCACGTTTGCGCAGTCGTAGGCTTCGATGCGGAGGCCTACTTCGGGGCGTTCGGAGTTTGTGAGGCCGCGGGCGAGACGGTTGCGGTTGCGCAGGCCGGAGGCGGCTTCGGCGAGGACGAGGTCGGAGATGCGTGTGTTGTCCATTTCTAGAGAGGCGAGACGCGTGCAAGCTTTGAGGACGGGGAGCATGCCGACGTCGCCGAGGTTTTCGCAGTAGGAGATGCAGAGGTGGCGGAGGTGGGGGGCGCAGGCGGACTCGGATAGGGTCTTCAGGACGTCGTTTGTCAGGTTGTCGATTTCTTCAATGTCTAGGTGGGTGAGAACGGGGACGGTGGGGAGCAAGCTGGTTAAGGCATCGTCGGTCAAGCCGCCACACTTTGAAATCTGAAGACCTTCTAGATACGGGACGTTGTGTACAAGGGTCTTCAGGCCAGCATCCGTGATGCTGCGGCAGCGCGTAAGGTTCAGGTGCTTGAGGTTCCTTGGTGGGACGATTGGGCGATCGGTAAGAACGTCAACCTCCTCATCTACACCCTCAATCAAAGCAGCCAGTGCTTCGTCGTTGAGACTGTCGCAGTTCTTCAGGTCGAGCCTCTCAAGAGTATTGCGCTTGAAAAGTGCGACCATCAGCTCGACATCGTCCCAGCCTCGCACCTCGCCTGCCCTGAGATCGCGCAGCTTCGTACATCCCTCAACAACCTTCTTCAGCCCTCGGTTGTCAATGTTGTTGCACCATGAAATGTTCAAGACTTCGACTTTCGGACAATGTGCAGCAAGGATCTTCATCGCAGCGTTCGTCGCACCCGCAAGACCCGAGAGATTGACGTGAACGAGGCGACTGTTCTGGAGTAAGAAGCAGTGGATAGATGTCCGATCAATCCGGCAGCCCTGAAGCGAGAAGTTCTCCAGGTTCTGGCATGACTCAATGAAGCCGTCCTTGCCCCAGTGTTCTCTCAGCTGTACGCAGCCTCTGAGGTTCAAGTCTTTCACGAACGGACCCGCCGATGTGATGATGTTGACCAAAGCATTGGCAGAGATGTCGCGGTAGAACTTGCTCGTATCGAGATCGCTCCACAGTTGACCATCAAAGCACATGGTATGCCACGACTTGGAGACGCGCGAACATCGCACAACCTCCTTCGGCTCGAGGTATCTCAGGATCTGCATGCGAATCTCAGTGGGCATATCACTCCAGAAGTTGAAGTTTGCCCGCTTCTGGACCTTGTGGACAGGTCGCGAGAAGTAGTCGTTCTCGGCTTCGATGCCGTCTCGTGTGTATGGTCGTCGGGCGGAAGGAAGAGGTACCGAGGACGGGATATCTGGTGTTTTCATCCGCAGACGAGTCCTCTCGTCCCAGAAGGGCGTGCCAGGTGGGCTGTTGGCGACCGAGGTAGGAGCTGTGGAGAAGCCATTCGACAGCTCTGAAGAGTAAGAGCTGCCGAATGAGTTTCCATATGGCGAGCCAGGCGATGCGAGGGAGACGCAAGACATGGATGCCTTTCCGCCGCTTCTCAGACTGTGAGAGCGGGGTCTACCCAAGTTCGCCAGACTCGAGGACGAGCCCATCCGTTGTAGGCCCATCAGAAGGCGCTGTCTGCCCTTGAGCTTTGGCTGCTCGATCATGATGGCGTCTGATGACGGGGTTCCCGGCGCGGGATGCATCTCGCTGTGGTCGACGACCACGGAGTCGATGGACAAAGGCTCCATGGTGAAGCGTGGCTGTGCGGTACGCGTTCTCGGCGACAAGCGGGATGGGGCGGGGAAGGTGGAGGATCAAAGAAGTCGAAGACCGAGGGAGGATATCGTCACGTCTACTGGAGCAAGATGGCAGGCAGAGAAGGTGGGAAAGGCCCCGTACCAGCGAAAAGGAACGAACGTAAGAGGAGCTGACGCTGACCCGGTGGTTGGGTGCGCGGTTTTTGATAGCTGAGCGGATGGCGGAACGCGCAGTTCAGTGCAGTCTAGAAAGGCGGGGATATGGCCCGTGTTATGCGGCGAGCCAGAGGCCGATCAATAGCCTTTCGGTTCAAGAAGGGGTCTTGGCCGTTGGCTGACAATGCGAGCGGGCATCACTTGAGGGCATCTGGGTGCGATGCTTATGGTGTGCGACCAAGTGACGCGAAGGATGCCAGCAGCAGCGACGTGCAGCTCTTTCATGTGCAGCGAGCTGCTGTTGACCAATGTCTTATCGTTGCTATCGCGTAGATCCGGAAGGCCCGATTGGGGGCGCGCCACGTGCGGCCTCCGATGTCACCAGCGCACCTCCGACGAGAGACATTGGTCGCTTGACCGTTGAAGCAGTGTCGCGTGAGCTGATAAGAGCCTTGGATTACAGGCATCTCATTCATCTTGCGAGATAGATGTTTGCGTCAGATTCAAGATATGAAGAGAAAGGCATCGGCATTCAGGGTCAGGTCTCCAACCTGCAGTCGGTGTTATGCAGGGTCAACCAGCAGCAGCCTTTTTGCGTCTAGCCGACATCCACGACCCGCCACTCGTACAAATTCCGCCAATCTGGATGTCTTCTAGATGCAGAGGCTCCGCCTTGGAACTTTTCGCCCCAGACGCCAGGCAAAATACGTCCTTGGGCCCAACGGCACATGGACCATTCAGCCGGGCTTCTCCATGTTTCCTGACAGGCGGGTGAGGATTGCACCAAGCATGTTGTAGCTGTCTGTTCATTAGGTTTGACAACAAGAGTTTGTTGATCTTAGCGTGAGGACCTGGCATAGTGTTTGCATCTAGAATTGCTGCAAATCTAATGATGCAGATTTGCGCTGTACTCCATGATATTAATCCCCAGGGCTAGCTCACAATACTCCAGCATGTTGTAGACCCGAACAACCCCCATCCATATCCCACTATGCCGCTGTCTCCCCCGTGCAATACTTCAAAAACTTGCCATGTGCCCCCGGCCAATTCTCCTCACACTTCGCCTTGACCGTCCCCACCAACATCCTATTCGCCCTAATCTCCACATCCTCCACAAGACTCCACTCGCATCCCTCAGCACCCTCTCTGTCCTCCTCACTCAACCCCTCCGTTTTCAAACACCTCCACGTAGTCTGCTGTGTAAGCCCCAGCGGCGCCTTGATCGTCCATAAAACGCCGTCGTCGAGATCAGTCATGTGGGCGTCGAACTTGACGGTTGTGTCCCAGAGACCGGCGGGCAGCGCGTTCATGTGGTCGGTTATGCGGTAGCATTTTGCGTCTGGGTTGGAGGGGTCGCTGGGGAGGTCTTCGTGCGAGGCGTACTCGGGGTCGAGGCGGATGAGGAGGACGTGGTTGTGGAGGTGGGAGACGGCTGTCGCGAAGGAGACGGAGCGGGGGAGATGCGTTACGTGGTGGAGGGTTGCGGTTGTGTTTAGAGCTGGAGTTTATTAGGGAGGTAGAGTAGAGTAGGGATGAGGGACGTACAGAACATGGCTGGTGATTTGGCTTGTTAGCTGATTAGATGATGGTGAGGGTTGCGATGAGGCACAGGTTGCGGCGCGGATGTTGTTCTATGTAAGTCCTATTGTCAATTGAGCACGAAGAGATTATGGCAAGTATGGCAGATCTCGAAGACCAAAAGCAAAATTATCGGCGAGAAGCTTGAGAGAAGCTAAGCTTATGTACGTCGAGCGCTCGTTGATGATG